GAGCCTGCCTGCCGAGTGTGGACCAAGGTAAGTTTGAACTAATTCGAACTAAGGTACTTCGAACTTCAGCTACGTTATTCACGTAGCTGAAGTTGCGTACCTTAGTTCGAATTAGGGGGGGTAGTGTAGACCAAGCCTAAGATAAAGGTGGTGTAAGCACAGATCTATTTTAAATGCTTTGATTTATAAATTGCACATTTAATATTAAAATTAAAGGCTTACCTGGAATTAGTTTTCTTCTAGCCATAGCAGCAGCTCTGTGAGACTCATATTCTACAAAGGCAAAGCCACGGTTTTTAGTTTTATCAGTAGCACTTGGATAAACAATAACATCAACCACTCCTTCTGTTACTTTCTTCATTTCATCCAAGATTTCTTCTTTCTTTTTCTCTTTTGGAATAGCTCCAATAAATAATCTGCAGTTGTCTAAGCTTACACAGACACCAATAAATTTTCCTGGACGAATTTCATAATTATTAAGGATCCTTATGGCCAGCTGGGCTTCTTCTTTAGTTGTGTACATCACAAAGGCATATCCTCGATTCTCACCACTAAATTCCATCATCAATCTGAATTCATAAATCTTCCCAGCTCTCTCAAAAACAGGGACTAATTCATCTTCATACATATCACGAGGAATCTTTCCCACAAAAACTTCACAGCCACGAGGTGGGGGAGGACCTTCCCAACCTTAAAAAAATTGTCCAGCAACCAGTAAGTATGAATGCCATAACCACAACTGTCTCAAACAATATTTTTTCAGAATTTGTAAGCACATTTCTGATGTAATAATACTGTACAGTGTGTTACAAAGGTTATTATCGTATTGATTCATGTAATCTTTTCTTGATTCCCTACAGCTCTGAAAACAAGACAACCCCATTCAACATTTTCGGTTTGTTTGTTTTTTAAGAACTTTTACTAAGTTCAGTAAAGCAATTAGAGGAAATACATTTTACACAAATAATTTTCAAAGGTAAATCCCTAATGCTTTGTCCAAAAAAAGTCAGTTACATTCTACTGTAAGGGAGATGTGTCAAATTTCCAAACTACACATATCTCCGCATAAAATTGATCCAAATCCTTCCCAGACTACAACTGAGATATAGTTATGGCAAAGGTTTCCAGATACATACTGCTTAAACATACAGAACGTGTTCATCCAAAAGCTAGCTCTTTTCCTGGTGCGGTGTTTATGAATTGCAAGTGTGTCATACTCCATGAAATGACAACTTCAGCTTCTCTTACCTGGCTTTATAAATAGCATCAAATTGATATTAACATTATCTAGAGCACTTTTATGAATGAATGTGACGTGTCAATGACTTATACCATAAATACCCGATTGACTCTTGGGGAGGGGGTATTGTGAGGGGAGACCTTGGGGGGGGGGAGGAGCCTGTCGCACCAGCTACCAAGGGGAAGAGCGCCAGGGGGGCACCTGCTGCCACTCCTGCCATGGCTGGGGGAGCCCCATGGGACCAGTAGCTGCCCCGGCCACCCTGGGATCACTGCCGGGAGTTGCTCAGCTCTGGCTGCTCCCACTGCCCCGGGACTGCTGCTCAGGCGGTACTCGGGGCCAGCCACATCAGTCACTGCTCGTGCAGTCCCTGGAGCCAGCTGCCTGGGGCCGCTAGAGCAGCAGCTGGCTGCGGGGCCATCCAAGTGGCTAGCTTCAGAGCCGCTCCAGCAGTGGCCGGTGTGGCTGACCCCAGGGCCACCCGGGGAACAGCCACACCAGCTGCTCCAGAAGTTACAGTGGTTGCAAGAAGTGACTTCCGCGACCTCCGTGACAAACATGGAGCCTTAATCATAATTAAATCACTTGTGCACGTTCACACAACACTCCTTGTGTCGGTGGAGTGCATCCGCAGTTGGTACTCTAGCACTGACAGAGCAGTGCACCCTGGGTAATTATCCCACTGTGCAAATCACTTTCTCCTGCTAGGAGTTCTGGATTAGTAGTGGATTACAGTGTATCATGATGCAAGATCACTGCCCCCCATGATGCAGTTTTCTCAATCCCATAATTCCAAGGGCTTCCAACGGCATTTCATGCTGTTTTTCAACTGCCCCTGTAAGCTTTGCACTCATCGCTGTGCTAGGGCCAGTCTTGTGATAAGTGTTATGAATGAACAGCAATTCATGCTGCCTGCCCTGCTGTGTGCTATGGAAAGAAACAATTCAAGACTGACATTGGCATTCATGGAGCAGCTGCACTTGGTGGACCATCGCTATTGGGCTTGAGAAACAAGCACCGAGTGGTGGGATCAAGTTGTGATGCAGGTATACAATGACACACAATGGCTGCAGAACTTTTGTATGCTCAAAGCCATCTCCTTTGAAGTGTGTGCAGAGCTTGCCCCTGCCCTGCAGCGCAAAGACACCAAAATGAGAGCTGCCCTAATGGTGGAAGAGCAAATAGCAATCGCTGTGTGGAAGCTGGCAATACCAGACTGCTACCACCCAATCGCGAATCGGTTTGGACTTGGGAAGGCCACCATAGGGGTTGTGGTGATGCACGTGTGCAAGGCCATTAATGGCCTCCTGCTATGAAGAACTGTGACTCTGGGCAATGTGCAGGAAATATCAGATAGCTTTATGGCAATGGGATTCCCAAACCTTGGCAGGGCAATTGATAGCTCGTGTATCCCAATTTTGGCTCCAGACCATCTTGTGATAGAGTACATCAACAAAAAGCGCTACTTCTCTATGGTATTGTAGGCACTGGTAAATCGCTGGTGTTGTTTCACTAACATCAATACAGGCTGCTTAGAAAAGGTGCATGATGCTGGCCTGTACAGAAAGCTGCATGCAGGAACTTTCTTTCCAGACCAAAAGGTTCCAACAGGGGATGTGGAAATGCCCATAGTGATCCTGGGAAACTCAACTTACCCCTTACACCTGTAGTTCATGAAACCATACACTGGAAGCCTTGACAGCAGCAAGCAGCACTGCAACAACAGGCTCAGCAGGTGCATAATGATGGTAGAATGTGCTTTTGACAGATTAAAGGGTTTCTAGCACTGCCTTTTTGGCAGGTTAGACCTCAGTGAGGAAAATATTCCCATGGTGATAGCAACGTGCTGTGCTCTTCGTAACATTTGTGAAGCTAACGAGGAAAAATTTCCCCAGGAGTGGAGCGTTGCAAGGGATCACCTGGCAGCTGATTTGGAGCAGCAAGACACCAGGGCTATTAGAAGGGCTCAGTAGGGGGAAATTCAAATCAGGGAGGCTTTGAAGCAGCATTTTGATAATGAGTCCCTGTAATGTGTCTTTCTGTAATGAACTGAGCCAGGCATTGTTTACTTGCCCTCTTGAATGATCCATGTAATGATTCCTACCTGAGCATTAATTATCTGCAAACGTGGTGATTGCCACGATATTTGAACTTATGTTGCAACCACCCTGTGTAGGTCACAAAAAGAATCACTGACTTTGTAAGACCCAATTTTTATGAAACAGCAATACACAGATTAACATTTCTTACAACGGACATGACAGTGAGTAACACTCACTGAAGTGAGGATCTCACAGCTGTATGTAAATCCACCTGTCTTTATGGAACATGTGCCTAGAGGTGGAGTGCAAGAGGTTCCCAGCCCATCGCCGTACATGAGAGAAATGTGGGGGTGGGGGGAAATTTGAGGAGGACAAGGAATGCACACCTCTATGGGCTGTAGAGGGAGTCTTCTGGTACACCTGCCTCAGCTCCTTTATCTTATCACAGCACTGCTGTGTCTCCCTTTCATGCCCCTCCTCATCCATGCCATGAGCAAGCTGCTCGTAGGCGTCAAAGTTCCTATGGCTGGATCAGAGATGCGACTGTACAGCCTCCTCTCCCCCCAGACCCAACAACTGGGGTGTACTCCACATGGGAGCTGTTTGCTGCAGAAAGCCAGCATGGGCAGCTAGGAAGATGTGATGTGAGCTGTCCACACCAAGTAAACTGTAAGTGGAATTTCAAAAATTCCCAAGGCTTTGGGGGAAGGAGGGAAGGGAGCATGCACATGTATATCTGGCTGCAGAGCAGCTGAGTAGAAACTGCAATGATAGCTATTGTGCAAGGCCTCCTTGAGGCCACTGTCCGCTTGCTAAGGTTTCCCTGTGTCTACAGTGACACAGTATCACTAATTTTGTCGCCAAAAGCTCTATGCCACTCGTCGAGATGGATTTATTATTTCAGCGTAGCATGAGTTAAATCGGTAGGGGGAGCATTGTTGTGTGTACACCTCCCCTATTTTGTCAGCAAAACTACATAGTACAGACAAGGCCTAAGTTTGGATTAGATTTTTACATTTCAGCTATGCATTTCATATAATAGTAGTTAACTGTACTGGCAGTGAAAGAAACTCATATTTCATATCCTAACCTGTAAAAGTTGCTTCTCCATACCTCTTCCCCTCCCCCTCTTCCTGTTTTTCAGGTTCCTGGTTCTCCTGGAGCTACTTCTCTTTCCCCACCCCACCTCCCAAAAATCCCACACATTTTTGTTCTCCTTTCCTTTTCTACCTAATATGGGAGACTGGCTACAACCTTAATTTGAGCTGCCATAATAGATTTTCACTACTGAAGTAGGCTGTGAGCCCACCCCATCCCCAGAAGCCACAGGGAGAATTCTCTTCCATCTCTTGATGTAAAGTTCCAAAACAATTGCAAAATTCTCCTCTCCAATTTGTGCTGCAAAATTAATGCACATCCCTATGGCACATTCTCCAATTATGCAATATTTCAATTGAAGTTCTAAGAAGAGGATATGCTTCATTATTTTCTAAAATGACTCCTGTTGCTCAACCCTGTAAACATTATGCTGATCTGACGGTGCTATGTCAGGTAATATGTTTGTAGGCCCTCAGGCTGTGCTATTCCATATCTTGCTCGCAGTATGAAACAGAACAAAAGACTTGTCCTTGCCAAAACATGAACATATGGCATATTTTTCACTTTGCTGACATAAAATTCTGCATCCTTTGCATATTTAATAATTTGCAGTCTACTGTTTTCTCTCATTATATTCAAAAACCGCAAGAAAATTATACCCACTTTGCTCATCCCATAATTCTCCAGTTTCACAAGCTGATGCCAAATTAAGTTTCATATACACTTTACGTCTGAGTTTATTTATGCTAACAGGTGCCTTATATTTAAAATTTGAGAACGTTTGAAGAGTATAGGTGAATTTTCCTTTGGAAAATATTAAAAAATTGTATCCTGTCCCATGTCAAATTTTGAATATGCAACTAAAAATCATACAGTGATTCAAATCCATAGCATATTAGTACCACTGTGTGCACTAGGATCTTTACACTAATAGCTGTAAGTATTCATACTAGTTTCCATATATCAGTTATTTCAAATTGAATGGAATAACCATTCTGATTTAACTGTTCTTCATTTCAGTCACTCTCAGAACAAAAGAATCTGAATCAATGGTGCCCCAGACTGAAGAACAGTCTTTCCTAACACTGAAGGGAGAAACCAGACAAATCCTTAGTTGGTGTCTGAAAGTACTCATCAAATCCATGTATCTCTCCTTTAGACAAGCTAAGTCTTCACATGCCCTGATTATCTGGTATCACCGCAGATCTGATATAACATTATCTTTCACCACTGCATACAAAATATCAGATGTTTTAAAAGTTATAGGATGAATTTTGCAGACCAATTTGAATAGTGATCAACATCCCCTT